GAGTTCGTTCCAAAGGGCCGGAGCTGCAACAAAGAAGGCCCTCCCCCGGGTCGTAGTCAGATGGCATTGGCTGGTGGATGGAACCCGGAGAAGGCCGACCCTGTGCGATCTAATGGATCTTTGGGAGGTAATTGGCAGCAGGCGGTCTCTCAAGTGGTTGGTCTCTGCTAGAAAGGGAAATGAATTAAGCCATTCCAAATATCTGATAGGAAAGGTAGTCCTCGACTTAAAACAGTTCATTGGAGTGACTGAAGTTACAACAGAACTGGAAAGTGACTTATAGCCATTTGTCACCCTTACAACCATTGCAGCATCTCCATAGTCACACGTTTTACATTTGGATGCTTGACAACTGGTTCACATAACGCTTGCAGTGTCCTGGTGCCACGTGATTGTCTTTTGTGACCTGATCAGCAAATTCAATGGGGAAGACAGATTCACTTAACAATCGTGTTACTAATTTAACAACTGCAGTGATTCACTTAACAAATGTAGCAAGAAAAGTCAAAGTGGGGCAAAACTCACTTAACAAATGTTTCCCTTGGCAACATAAATTCTGGGCTCAACTGTGGATGTAATTCGAGGACTGCCTGTATTTTATATTCACTCAAGAGGTGATTGGTCCTTCTGCCTCTACTGTTTATTAGCTATCTAGTTTGTTATACCATATTCAGAACCCAATAGGCAAAGTTTTTGTTGGACTTTCCCTCTGTTCTGAAACTTTTACAGCCTGATAAAGGCTCCCATTATGCATGGTATGAACTTTTAGCGATATGAAACTTCAAATTCAGATCACCTAAAATATATATGCGGGATCTATCGGAATCACTGAATTTGGTTCTTTTATGCATATTCTTCCAATATCAAACTTTCTATGTATCACTTTAAGATTTGGATGGACAGCTTCTCAAAAGACTGGAGAAATGTATGTGAAGATTTCCAACATCTACATTAAAGCAATATCTTAATCAGTTCAAAGTTCACAATATTTTTCAAATCTTTGGGATGTCTAGTTAATATTGTTAAGTAAGCTGCTAAAAAAAGATGAATAGAGTTAGGGAGGAAAAGTTGGATTGACAATTATCAGAAATTTGTCTAGAGATTTAAAATGTAATACGGAAGGAAATGATGTTCAAGTTAGGTTTTATTCCTTGGTACTCATAACTAGTTTTTTTTTACATAAAATCTAGCTTTTGCTTATAACTATCACAATCTTTAGTAAAACACACAGATATCTCTACACCTCTTTATATTTGTTTTCCTAAAATTATTACTGGAAAATTCCATTATTATATAGTGAACAGACAGCACAAGAAAAGTATAGAGGGATGGCTATCTGGACTATTTAATAAATTGCATTCAGCAATTCATTTGTTACCATAGGAACTAAAAAGACTTCAACTCTGTTTCCTTTTCAGCAAGCTTATAGTGCAAGATGGTTCTTTCTCTTTCTCCTCAGTTAAAAGCAACAGCAAAACAAGCTCACAACACTCATAGCTCATGCTAAAATATAGTGGGTCTTTTTTTGGGGGGGGGGGAATGACTAAGTTTGACACAAGAACACAATTCTGAAAATAAAAACGTGGCCAAACAAACAAGGCATTTGGTGAACAAAATGAATGACTAGTGCTCTTCGATATTCAAACGAAGTGTTAAATTGCAGAGAGAATAATGCTTTCCAAGTTTAAGATTCCCCAAATAAAGTAGGAATTTCTTAGTAAACATGCACAAGTTTGTTCTGTAAACTTTTTAAAATTCAGTGCCTTGTTTTTATTTATGTTCATGTAAAAAATATCTCCCTTCCCCAATTATTTCTCCAGAAGTTAAACTGGGCAAAAAAATAAATGAGGGGAAAACAAAAGAAGTTTACGAATTGCTGAATTACCCAGGATGTGTTCTGATGCAATCAAAAGACCAAATAACTGCTGGAAATGCAGCGAGAAAGAACATCATGGAAGGGAAGGCTGCAATCTCAAATACAACAACATCTTGTGTGTTCCAATTGCTTCAAGAATCTGGTAGGTGGTGGGAAAGTTAACCCTCATGCAGGAGAGTAACCCTGTATATAAAGCAATAATGCCCTCATTATATGGAAACTTTTTGCTGTAATGGTAATTTTTCTTGGTTTTATTATAATTAAGAGATCTTGTGACTATATGCTGAAGGAGCATAGGACTTTCAAGAAGACAACAGTAACACTCTTTTCACATTAAAAAATATAAATTAGTTTCTCCATAGATGAGTCATATGAAATATATGTCTATTATATCATTAAGTAACATTGAAGGAATGTGGTGGCTTGGCTAAGACTTGTCAGTCAGAAAGGTCGGCAGTTCAGCGGTTTGAATCCCTAGCACTGTGTAACGGAGTGAGCTCCTGTTACTTGTCCCAGCTTCTGCCAACCTGTAGCAGTTTGAAAGCATGTAAAAATGCAAGTAGGAAAATAGGAGTCACCTTTGGTGGGAAGGTAACGGGTTTAGTCATGCCGGCTACATCACCACAGAGACATCTTCGAACAGTACTGGCTCTTTGGCTTTGAAACAGAGATGGGCACTGCCCCCTAGAGTCNTACACAAGGAACTATATTACAACAGGACCATGGTGTTTATTGGGCCATCCAAATCAGGCAGATTTGCAGCAACTTTGAGGCTCTCCGACCTGTAAACTTTGAACAGGATGAGCCCTGGAAGTTTGAGGAAGGGTTAGGATCATTTGTATAATCGGAAGTTACACTTTAATCTTTCCTACATGTTCATTTTTTTTTATTTTTGGAATCAGGGACAGAACTGCAGCAGCCGAACAGGAAAACTTCAGGGTGCCAACCCGCGCACAAATTTACTTGGGAGCAAGGATCTTATGCATGCGCAGAGTGCGCTATACATATGGGGGAGGGGAGGGGGGGGTTACATCCTAAGCACGTGCTTTGGTTGTTATCGGAGCAGACCGCACCGACCCAACGCCGGCTTCGCTCTTACATCCCACCGCATTCCTCCCACTGTTCCCCCGTCACTGTGGGTCCCCCCACAAGGCTGGAGGGGCTCAGGCCTCCCTGTCAAGACGCCTTCTTCCACCCACCCATCCTTTCCCCCCCCCCCCGGTTCCTACCTGTGCTGCAACCCCACCAGCCCCAGCGTGATCACATGGGGCACGTCCAGCTCGGTGGGCCATAATCCGGCGGCGAGGCAGCCGAAGACCCCGCATTCTTCCCCGATGCCCAGCTCCTCGAATTCCATGCTTCACGAGGCCAACACGTGTGTGTGTGTGTGCGCTTAACACGCAGAGCTGCTCCGGTTGCTTTCTCGCTTGCAGCCGCCGCAGTTTGTGGGAAAGGAGGAGGAGGAGGAGGCGGGATTGTAGCGCCCGCGCCCCTGATTTCCCACCCGCCTTATTTACATACGTACACACTCACTCACATGGGGAGGGGGCGGCCGGGTTGTTTTCTCGGGGAAAGGAAGCGCCGCCTGACTGGAGC